AAACAGAGTTGTAAAAGTTGAACTCTCATGCCAATTGCTGCTACTTCTCAGCTTGTTGAAAAAACAAAAATGGAAGGAAAAATGGTATGCTTGAAAAAGACCTGTGCCCTGTGAGATGTTTCTCCTCTGACATTTTTACCTTTTAACTCCTTTTCATATTTACAGTCTGTGTCTGTGAACAGCAATTCATTTAGCTTGACTCCCAAGAGTCTTTCATTATATGGATTTTTTTCCTAATTAAGGCATATATGCTTCTGGTATACCATCAACAATTAAAAATGTGAGATATCCTAAACTTATACAGTACAGCTCAACTATAATGGATTACTTTTATCAATTATTCATTGTGATGAAAGAATGGGCCAGGTATACTATCTGAAATGATTTCACTTCATTGCAGAATCCTATTAGTATTTGAAGAAGGTATCTGGAACAGGGCTAATTTACACATTCAATCTGACATGCAAGTCAGGCTCAGTTCAGACACTGTGCAAAACCATGGTTTATTATAGTTTGTGAAATCAGGACTCAGCATATACATCAAGGGTTCCTAATGTGGCACCCATGGACTTCACAGTACCTGCCAGCACTTTTTCTGGTACCCAAGTGATTTTTATAAAATGGGTGGAGCTACTCTGGCAGGGCTTCTGATTGGCTGTGCAGATTAAAATAATGTTGTTTCAGCAGCAGCTGCCACTACAGCATTTGCTTTATTTTCTCTTTTGCACTCCTATTTCCCAGTGCATTTTTAAAAGAACCACTCCTGCCCCTGCCCTTCAGCATCCTCCATGTGTGTGATTGGCTTCACCTACCATGGTGGCCATTTTGTGTCCCACCTCCCACTACAGCCATTTAATAGTTGCCCCACCACCCTATGCCAGAATTCAACAGGTGCTCACAGGCTCTAAAAGGTTAGTGACTCCTGCCAGGGCTCTTTTTGTAGCAGGAACTCCTTTGCATATTAGGCGACATACCTCTAATGTAGCCAATCCTCCATGAGCTTACAGTAGACCCTGTAAGAAGAGCTCTGTAAGCTCTTGGAGGATTGGCTACATTAGGGGTGTGTTGCCTAGTATGTAAAGGAGTTCCTGCTAGTCCTGGCATACATAATCACTCAAATCTAGGTTTGCCTTGCCCATTGCTAGTTTCTTTGCCTTTTCTCTGCAGCATAGGAGGACATTATCAGGGGAAAAGGCAGGAAGGTAAGGTGCTCATAATAATAATTAAGTGCGATCAAGTTACAACTAGCTTATGGTGACCCTGCAAGGAGTTTTCAAGGTAAGAGATGAGTAGAGCAGATTTGCCATTGCCTTCCTCTATGAAGTAACTCCTGTCTTTCTTAGTGGTCTCCCTTCCAAGTACTAACCGTACCCAACCCCTGCTTAGCTTCCAGGCTCTGATGAGGCCAGGCCATTCAGACTGCTGAAGGTGTTCATACATCATGCAAAATCATATTTCAGATTCTGTGGTTAATAAACTACATTCACATCCTTGTTTAATTACCTAATTAACCATAGTTAGTGGTGAAGCCTATATTTAGATCATCGTAGTAAACACAGTCAGTTCAATTAAACCAAGGTTTGGTGCAATGTCTGAATGAAGCCCATGTGGGTATTTTTTGCTTTTACTCGAGGATGATTTAGTGTACAGCTGAGTTGAAATGTAACCCACATTAAGCATGCCATTATGTACTTTTCAAAATGATCTGGTGGAAAAACCCAGTAAAATGAACTGAGTATCAAGCTGGGTGCACACAATTAGGCTCCTTCAACATTTCCAGTGCATGGCCAGCTATAATGCAAATCAATACGCTAACACATATCAAAACATAATAATGACACATTTCCCAAGCCTACTCTGCGTTCCCTCACCTAGGCAGCTACTTTTTTCTCTTCAGAGTTTGCCTAGACCAGGTGGTGGGTTGACAAGCAAAAGTTTAAATGGACATTTTGTACATCATCAACAATGTGACAAAATCTATTTGCAGCTTATCACATACAGGATTTATGTTCCATGTTGCCAACTTACATGGCTATTTCGGCACATGCTCATTCTATCTATACAAGAAAAATTTTTGGAAAAGACATGTGGTTCTTCCTCACCTTTTAAAAGTGATTACTAAATCTGGCCATGCTATATAGATGGTGGTTGTCTTTTGAGCCCTAGGAAATAAGTAAATGGTCTAAAAATGTGGCCTGTAGACTTTCTCTACATTCCTCATAAGACATCTTATTCTGTATATTTCAAGACCCCATATCACGAGAGAAGCAAGTATATGTCTTTCTGTGTTTTGTTTTGTCATGTTACAAATCAACACATTCTCCATCTTCTTTACCATGCAAGTTTTGCCATATCAGTGCACATGTGAAGTTGGGCCATAAGATAATATTAGTCTACTGTTAATTTTTTTTTTTGCACCGTATGGCCTCATGACATACAGCAATAAAATGTACTTCTGTAGCCAAAGCACTGAGGGGCCATACTGCTAAATTCATTCTCATCATTGTGATGTGGAACACAGAGTTTGGTATATCTGTGTGTGTCTGACTGCCTTGAAAAGGAAAAGATGGATGCCTGAACCGTTTTAAGAAGGTGTAAAACCTCATTTTGGAGAGATGTTCTCAAAGGAACCTAGATAAACACATTACATTTTGTTTTGGTTGAGAAAAAATTGGGTTGGACTTCAAGAGCATGGAAGCTTCTTTTTGTCCTCTGAGGAGTTTATGATTGAAAATGAATGACTTTAGACAGCTACAGAAAAAAACACAATGCACAAGTGTAGCATGACAGAGTAGCATAATATTTCAAGTAGTCAGAGCTATAAAAACAGACTAGGGTTTTCCCCCCTTATCCCTGCATAGGAGTAGATCCTTCCAAAAAACATCCAAAGACTCTTTTTTTCCCAGGCAGTCTCCTGTCATATAGAAGAGGAAGGGAGCTCTAATGGAAAATTATTTGCATTTCAGAATTAAAGAAGGAGGAGAAGATCATACTAAGAAGGCCATTTGTGAAGAAAATTCTGGTTTATGTCAGTGGTGTCACTTGTCCTCCAATGCATTGTAAATGATTAGCCAATAATACATTTCATTCAGAACTCACACAAAGACCTCTATGGAGAGCGCTTCCTAGTTTAGCTTTTGCTGCTTAACACATTCCAAACTCTAGCAGATTAAGAGACCAATTTCCATCCTGTGAACATTGAGGCACTGCAACCCCACCTGCCATCTAACTCAGTGCACCACTTTTCTGCGGTGCTGCTTACATGTGGTTTGCATTTACACTCCCCTCCCTTGAGCCACACATGTTGTGCCTCTCCAGTTTTGCTGCTATTTTCTTTTCATGCTGGAAATGCCATGTTAAATTATTAGCAACCAAGGAAGTAAACTGTAAATTCCCCATGGTCTATATCAAACACATACACCCCTGACTAACCTCAACAGGCCAGATCTGGGTTTCAACTTCCTTGTGTCTGACTGATGGAAAACATCAAAATCACTGGAAGGCCTCTGACAGGTGGGTTTAGTGAACATTCTATCATTCCTTACTTAATTACTAAAGAAGTGTGCATGCAAACAAACGCATACGCCCAGAATTAAACTGTGTTGGCCTTAAAGGTGCCACTGGACTCAAACTTTGTTCTGTTGCTTCAAACCAACACTGCTACCCACCTGAATCTATCTTAATTACTCAATGACATATATCAACTGAGGGCTATCTAAGTGGAGAAACATAATGCATCATTGCTCATTTAAAATGGGAGAAGACTTTAAAACTCTCCAGAAGATGGTTTCCCAAGGAAATTATAGGAAGGAATTCTCTTCCAGTATGAATTCTGTAGTGGTAGCTTAGGACAAAAACCACTCCACTGCCACATGAAAGATTTAGGAGAAATTAGTTGTTGTAGATTTTCCGGGCTGTATGGCTGTGGTCACCTTGACACAGAGAGTACTCCATCTTTTTGTGTTATCCCTCTAAGGATGCCAGTCACAGCTGCTGGCAAAACATCAGGTCCTACAATGCCAAGACCATGGCCATACAGCCCAGAAAATCTGTAACAGCTAATGAACTCCAGCCGTGAAAGTCTTTGACAACATATTTAGGAGAAAGTTATCAAGATGAAGGTACTATGAGGACATGAATGCTGATAGAGCTCTTTGAAAGACATGTGCTGCACATGTGTAGCAGAACTTACCTTTTTTAACCAGATGCCAGCAAGAACTCTAACAAAAGAAGAGAAATAGGGTAGCTTTCAGTTCACTTGGGTGACTTTTTGGTGGGGAAAATTAATCTGATGTTTAGAAACTTAAGTCTCAAGGGCAGTTGTCAGAGAAAATAGTGTTGCTATTGGCTGTGTTCACAAACACCTGTTTAACTTCCTGATGCTATTCCAACATTAACTATTTAACTTCTGCACCACAAGCATACACAGTTCCAATGTGAACAGCTACTCTGTTTGGGCAGCATTTGCCTCCCACACACACACATCAATATGTGAAATATCTTGTGAATACCCATGAATGTAGTTAAGTTGCATCTCCCATGAAGTGAGTGCAAGAGCATGCTATACTTCAAAAAGTCACTCTACCAACCTATTTGTGTTTGGAAAAGCTCATTCTGAATGTCAGGACTGTCCCTTTCGTACCAATTCACAATGGATTCTTGGAACTACTGTTGGATCTTCAAGTAGAAACTAAATCTGATGAACACACCATTATGACATTTATAACGGTGTGAATATTTTCAGATGTCCAATAGTTAAGGCAGTGGCCATAAAATACTAGTGCAGACACAAAAGAGAGATGGCAAACCAGGAACAAAGGACAACAACCAGATAATCAGAGATCCCTGAAGTCAGGAGGGGCCCAATGAATAATCAAGTCCCACACTCCTGCTGTGAACCAGAAGGATGAAGCTGAAGGAGGAGGACACAGCAACAGCGTTATTCCACAAGGCTGGGGCATGAATGGGATCCCTTAGTCACGGCTTCCTCCCAAACCTACCTCACGGGTGAAGAGGATGGCAGCATCATAGTGTTCCTCATGATCGTCATCCAGTTGGTTGTGTTGGTGCTGCCACTTACAGAAGTTCTTGAGTGTGGTGGCTGCATTCTTATTTACTTCCAGCCCTTTCTCTTTGTCATCCAGCACCACCACCTTCACCACCGTCAGGCGGATGTGGTTCTCAATGCTGGCATGCCCATAGAGCCGGGATGCAATGGTGGCTAAAGTCAGCAGGTAATGATGCAGACCTTTGCCATACTTCTTGGCCATGGAGTCGTCAGCCACCAGGAGTAGTTCCACCTGCCTGGCCCTGGAAGTGGAGCGCTTGTTCCTACTCCTAGAACCCACTGTCTGGGAGAAGGGGGAGGACAGCGCTGCCCTGCTGATGAAATCCGTCTCCAGCATCTCTTGCCCCTCGGCCAGTCTTTTTTGATCAAGAAGCGGGGCTCTAGAGGAGCCTCGAGTTTCACAGGTGGGGCGAGAAGGCAATGTTTGGAAGCTGAAATGATCCCTGAAGAAGAGATGTAGCACCTGGGTGGCCTCATCCCCATAGATCTTCTCCCTAGCGGGCTCCTCCTCCTCACTCCGGAGCAATGGCTTCACCGTGTAGCGGGCGTGTTTGACTGCAAAGTAGCCATCCAGCCCGCCGCAAAGGTTGAAGAGGGCCAAGGACTGGGGGCTCCCATCCACCGTGCCCCGGTAGTAGCAGTGGCCCCTGCCTTGGAGAAGCTGCTCGGCAGACCCGAGGAGCGCGTCCTTCTCCAGATCCAGAAGGAAGCGCTTCCCCTCCGCGTAGAGAATGTAGCCCACCTTGCCGCCGCCGATGTAGGTCTGGTCCACGCTGTCCACGAAGCCGCTGGCTCGGTGCTCGCGATCCCACCGCTGGCGGAGGAAGGGGTGCACGAGGCCTGCGATCGCTGCCGCTCTGGAGAGCTGCAAAGCTTTATCATAGGCAGGTGCTGAAGTTGCTGGGGAAACTCCGGAGGCGGCGGCGGCGGCGGCAACAGAGTGCAAGCTCACGGCCAGCAGCAACAGCAGCGAGCAAACAAACTTCAGCAGCATGGTGGGCGCTGCAGCCGGTTAATCGATCGCCGGGTAAGGGATCGGCTCGGGAGCAGAGTGGGGTGCCGCCACCGGAATGCTAACAACCACTGCCGCTGCCTTTGCAGGACGAGTCAGGAGTGCATGAGCGGGAGAGAAGCGCCGCGTTGCCGGGAGGCATCAGAGAAGTTGGAGTACTTTGCACTTCTGTCTTGCAGCTGCAGAGTCATCCGATGGCGAGAGATCGGCACTTCCAGCAGCTCAGCCCGGACGATCTCGTCGGCTTCCTTCGACCCCGTTTTATTTGTATTGTTGAGTTTGGAGAGAGAAGGTAAAGGAGAGAGGAGGAAGGAGAAACAGGAAAGACTGTAGGTAACGCTTTTTTAAAAAAAAAAATGTCCCTGGTTGAATCTTACAGTTCCCTCTGTGACTTTATGGCTGTTTGGTGGTGGTGGTGGTGGTGGTGTTATCCCCAGTATGCCGATGTGAACAAGAGGAGAAGAGAGGGAGCAGTGAAGATGAGAGGAGGTGGAACAATGAATTTATACCGGAATGCCATCCTGCGATGGCAATTTCAACAATTCGTCATTGCAGGCTGCCTCTTAAAGGGAGAGCTTCAAAACCACCACTCCCACACTTCCTTCTCGGTTAATCAGACGGAGAAGGAGGGGAATTAAAAGGGGGGGGGGAGAGAAATGGGTGGGGGGAGTTTCAGGGAGGTGAGAAAGACCGAGGAAACAGAGGAAGGCGAAGGAACTGGGAGGAAACGTTTCTGTGAGGAGGGGGGGGAAACCCACAAGATTTACTTTGACTCGTTTAAAGCCACAGTGTCCTTTGGAAGGCACTGAAATTTCCCAGCCAGTCAGGTTTGCTCATCACAACCTTGTTTTCTCCTCTTCGTGTCCTGGCCAGGTTTGCCTGTTTCCTATTATGACAAGAAAGGTTTTTTGAATTGTTTTTTTAAGTTAGGTGGGTGACTCAACTTTATGGAGACATGAAAAAATGCTGGTGGTTTCTGAAACTTTATCTCTCTTGTGGATGCACATTAAAAAGACACATGCAAGACAACTAGGTTATGCAAGCAACATTTCAGTCTTGTGAAGAAGGGTTATCAAGGCAGCACTGTTGAGGCTAAGGGCAAGGCAGGTTTGCTGTGTCCTGGAATGTGTGGAGTCCTCTCCCTCCTGGCTACGAGTTGGCGCCAACGTTCCCTCTAAGCTCTGGAGTCTGGTGAGCAAAAATCCTACTTTGTGAGCTACTGGCATTAAAGTTGTGAGCAAGCAATTTGGCTACTGCATGAATTAGTTTGCTCTGGAGCCATCCTTCCTGAGCGAAGACAAAAAATGTGTGAGCTGGAGGCTGAAAAACTGTGAGCTAGCTCACAATAACTCAGCTTAGAGGGAACACTGGTTGCCACATTTCTGAAAGCGGGAGGCACGCCACCCTCCTCTTCCTTCCTTTATCTATATTGCGTGGATTGTACTTTAAGCTCTCCTGTCATTATCCCAAACCAACTGTCACTTAGACTGGAAGGTCCGTAATTTTACTCCCACACCAAAAATGAGAGCCAAAAGGCTGGAAAAGTTAACTCTTACAGTTGCCTTATGAAGAACTTCAGATAAATCCCTCACATCATCTGGTCAGCAGAACTCCTGTTCCAGTCCTTATGATCCAGCAGGACACCCTGTAGGCAGACAGTCATATGAAAATCTCTCTGTCTCAGTTAACTGCCAGTGTAATTAGTTAACCTTCCTCTGAACAGAACCATAGCCACCAAAAAGAAAAGAAAGCCTGGTCAATCTTGCTGATGGTCCTGAGGTACAAGGTCAGATAAGGTACTGCAGAGGGCAAGTTCTGAAGGAGGAAGCAAATCTTGTTTTTGTAGCTGTCACTCTTGGTTCTCTGTAGAAAAGTGATCCAAGTAGTGGGATCCTGGCTTCTGTGCAGAGAAGGCTGCTGTTGGAGGGATATAGGGAATATTAGCACTTATAAGTACAGGACCTCCAAGAATTTACATATACATACCTAACTTGAAGCATTTACAGTTATTTTTGTTCTCCTGTTCATAAAATGTTTCTGCATATCAGTGCTTAATGGAATTTAGCTATTTTATAAAAAATGAACCATGGAAGTATGTTGGCAACCCTGATAAAAATGCATCTGTTGGCTGTTTTTAAAGCTTCTTCTTCTTCTTTTTTTGCTTTTCAGGGTAACTAATGTGATGCTGTCTCCTTTGCACCTCAGTAAAGATGCCTCTTCTTCACATTAACGTGTTTCACATTTGCTTCTCTTTCAAATTAGTATGTTAAACAGAAGAATAGAACTCTGAATCAACTATTTTACCTTCACCACATCATATGTACTGATATCTAGGCATATAGAATACTCAAATATTGCTATCATTATTGAGTTCTTATTAACACAGGGGTGTCAAACATAAGGCTTGGGGGGTGGATCTGGCCCATCCAGGACTCTTATGCGGCCCATGAGCAACTGATGCAAGTGACAAAGTGCTGGGGGGAGTGGACAGAGCCACTCCATTGTGGCTTCAGCATGGCCGAACAACCTCATCTGCAGCAATGTGGGAGCATTTGCCCAGCGCTGCATTGTATGGACTTTCCTTCGCACCCCCCTCCCAGCCCATGGGGCCTTGCAGTGAGGATACACCAATTCGGAGCTTACCAGCTCCTGTCCTTTATACAGTGTCTATCTCCAGTACCTGGCATCACATTTTATGGCCACATGGCCCAGCCTGACAAAATGACATTTATGTCAGATCCAGCCCTCGTAAAAAAATGAGTTTGATGCCTCTGCGTTAACACATAGCTGTCCTGAATTTCAATCATTCCATGTTTTTCACAAAGAAATGGTCAATTAGCCTTATCCGTTAAGTGCAATTCTGTGCAAGTCTACTTAGGCCCCTGCTACACGGCAGGGGAAAAGCCTCTAAAAGCGCGGCTTTTAAAAGCCGCACCAAAGTTGAGACGCCGCGGCGGGATCCCACGGATCCCCTGGCCGCGGCGCCTTTTCTCCCCGGCACGATCAGACGCCGGGGAGAAAACACGGCCCTGACGGGGAGCCTGCCGAACTGCGCATGTCGGAGCATGCGCAGTTCGGCTAGGAGCTGGGGATGCGCCGGTGCAAAGACGCGCCGGCGATCCAACGGCCCGGCTTGCAGCGCGTCGTCCGGATGAACCACCTCGGGTAGGTGGTTCACTTTTGATGCGCCTCATCGGGGAAAGGGCCGGATCGGAGACGGGAGCGCAACGCCAGCCAGATGTTGGCGTGGGATCGCACTCGTTTGCTCCGTCTCCAATCCGGCCCACTCCCAGCCCAAAACGCCTCGTATGAACGGGCCTTAGAAACCTACTCTGGTCTATCCAGTAGGGCTTACTCCGAGGTAAGTGCATCATGAAAAGTAGGTATCTGTTGCAGAAATAAATAATTCTCAAGGAAAGGACATTACTGTGGGGTTATTAATACAATGCAATACTATTTTCTTTCATTTATCTGCCCAATTCTAAGAAGAAAATAGCAGCTGGTATGCTGAGAAGCTAGTGTTTAGCGTGCATTTTCTCTCAGCAATTTTCACGTAATAATGAGTATTTCAGCCTTATAGTATGTGATATACAACCCTTGCCTCCCTGTAACGAGTTTAGCTGTTATGGCATCCCAGGAGATGTAGTTCTTTGAGGACCTGTGACAGAAATCTCAGAATGTTCAGGCCCCAGGATTCTGAGGAGAATGATTCCTAAAATGATATACATTTTTACCAAGGATATGTATACTTTTATGAACCACCACAGAAACTGGGTTACCATTTCTGTACGGCTGCATAATTGAATATTGCACTGTCATTGAACTATAGCAATAATTCACAACTGGATTTTCCTGTGTGACCAAATCAGTTGCCAGTAATAGCTGTAATACAATTCGAACTTGGTATCCAGTGAGATGTGAGTGCATCCTACTTTGGCTAAATACTATGCCACTAGAACCATACTTTTTTGCTGACATTTTTTTTGAAGATAGGTTAATAATTCATTTTATAATAGTCTCTTTTCTTCTATGTTTTGTCCTTCCTGGCCTCTTCATTCTTAATAGTATTCCCTTGTTAGCATATCTCAGGTTACAGGATCACTAAATCCTTGTCAGATAGTCCTTTTTTTTTTTTTAAGTACCCGTTAGGTACACTTTTATTATTTTCCATATTATACACAACAAACATACATACAACATATCACAAACAACCACTTACAAACATAAAACATACAATGAGATCAGTATACTTTCTTATAACTCTATTACCATATTAAAAAGTTTCTTTAGGTTTGTTTAAGTTTCTGTGTACTCTTATCTTTTTACCATAGTTTCTGACCCGCAAATCATATGGCTGATTTTTCCCATTTCAAAGGTAAAGGTAAAGGTTCCCTTGCTCGAAAGCCAGTCGAGTCCGACTCTAGGGTTGCGGTGCTCATCTCCGTTTCAAAGCCAAAGAGCCAGCGCTGTCCAAAGACGTTTCTATGGTCATGTGGCCGGTACGACTAAACCAAGGCGCACAGAACGCTGTGACCTTCCCACTGAAGTGGTACCTATTTATCTACTTGCAATTTCTTGCTTTCGAACTGCTAGGTTGGCAGTAATTTCAAAGGTACAGAGCCTCAAATCCTCAGTTAGCTTGAAATTACAAAATTGTTTAGTTTTTGGGTCAAACTGAATGTGGAACTTCATGTATTGCTGTCAGCTTTAAAACATATTTTATTCTTTAAAAAAAATTAGATCTAATCAACTGTTAAAATCCAAATGAGGACAATAAGACAATACTTCATTGCTGTTTTTTCCTATAGTTTGGGAAATACAGAATGTAAAAAGTGCTTTTGAATATATTTTTCATCTATAGATCAGATTAGGTCAAAAACATGTAACAGTGTAGTATGAAATTCTGAATTTATTTTTCATCCAATTGGATGTCTCAGGAAGAATGCTGTGTAACCTGGAAGACTGCATACTACATCCTAAACTTTGGCTTCTCCTGCTGAAGGACTTTTTGTTGTAATGAACCAAGATGACAATCTGATTTTGATCTATATATTTTTAAAGTATTTATAAGCCATTCTTTTGGAAAACGTTTCATGTATTTTAAAAGCCAGGTGACCATATAAAAGATACTCTTGTTATGTTTTCTTTCCCAGAGACCCATTTGGCTACTTTACTTATTCACTACTACAGTTACTGCAATCCATTAACAATCAGAATATGTTAAATTTCTTTTATCAGTCACCGCAAGAG